CCCCAAAACCCCAAAACCCCAAAACCCCAAAAGGAGTAAATTTATTAGAAATCACTATATTCGATAATCAAAATGGAAAACGCAGTTGCTGAAAAGATCAGAACTCTCTATAACAGGCCTAAGAAACAGAGATTATTCAGCTTGTCTCCGCCCCAGAGAGCGCTTCCCTCTCTAAAGGAGGCCAAGTCGAGGTAAGAAGCAGGGTGGCAGGGATCTCCAGGACTGCTTTAGTCTTTAAATTTCGTCTTGATTTTTTATATTTAATACTTACCTTTGGTGATTAGGAGACTCAAGGAATTTGATGTCCAGAAATGGATGATGAAAAGAAAGAGCAATCAGAAATTTAATGAAAATGAGTAAGGGATAGTAATATAAGTATGAATTAGAGGTTAGGTTAGTTACTTGCTCTCAATATTCACAATAAAATTTCACAGTAATAATAACTGGCTTTTGGAGTGGCTCTGCTTTATCTTTAAGTGCTGATGGAATAAAAGTGCCATTAATAGCTGAAGTTTTAGTAATAGAGGGTATGGGGATTATGTGTACTCGTGGCACTGAATACTTCGCTCAAGGTACGAAATCTGTCCAATAAGCCATGCTCACCAATTCAACTCCATTTTTAGGAGTTGGTTGAATGATAGAGTAAGGAATAGGCTGGGCTGCCTGTTACTTTGCTGGCCGTTAGCATATGTGTTTATATTAAAATAGCAATGAGTTTGGAAATGATGAGGCATTAATTGAAGAACTTCCTTCCTGGAGAACGAAGAGGTAAGAATAAATAGTTAGTTTTCATAGTAAAGAGTCTTTGTACAGTAAGGCTAGTGCAAATCAGAGCAAGGAGCTCAAACCCTCAGATGTCATTGGGAAAGTCGAAATTGAAACTTTCAAAATGGAGATCAAGACTTACCTAAATTGCACTCATAAATAAAGTGATGATTGCTGATCTGAGCAAAATGAAGAAAGGAGATGAAGAGTATCTTAAAAGCCGTACGTACTAGTACTTGATGATAATGAAAATTCGCTCCAACTAGAATTTGTTTTTATTTTTGTGTTTTACTCATCACCACTTTGAAATTTTGTGAAGTCTTTAGTTAGATTTCACTATATTACTAATATATCTGACGATACCCGTCTAAATAAAAGGTTTACCTAACTTATATAGTGAACTCCAGAAAAAATAAGAGAAGAGAGGTACTATCACCTGGAGTATACAGGCCTTCTAAATTACTCGAGGTGAACACAAATCGGTTTAGAGAGACTCTTAGTCCTATGCCCCCTCATGCAAATGGTAAGCTTCAGAATTCACCAATATAGCAATCATGAGCAGTCCGAATGTGGTAAATATTCGAAGTTTTTCAAATTTTTGAATTTCTGATTAATGTTATTAATAAAAAACTCGAGTCATTCGGTTCTTAGAGTCTATAGCTAATATAGCCTTTGAGGAGGTTTCCAGTTACGATTTTAGCTTAGGTTTTTAATTTTGAGTGTTTCTAACCTATTTCATAGCGAAAGCGGAGGGATGTCGTGCTTAAGAAAAAGTAAGTTATTTTAGTTACTGTGGTTGTTTCATCAACCATTTTATGCCAAATTTGGTTAAGCCTAGTCTTTTGAGAATATTCGTTAACGAATCTCTTATAGTCCTCAGTTAAAAAAGTTTATCATGGAGAGGAAGACCATGAAACAAAAGTAACCTTCAGCTAATTTTTAGTCAAGCTCTAACCAAGACAGTCAGGTCTCCATGCCCAGAAAAATTCCAGAAGCATAAGTCATACTTTAAGGACAGCTCTAAGCTGATCGATAGAGTAAAGCTGAAGAACATGGAGCCTGTTTCTAAGAAGTAAGAGCCTCTGATAATCATATAGCATAACGAATCTGCACTCTGAGAATTTGAAATCCGAGTTTAAGGGCAAGATTAAGGTAAATTTGCACTCTTACTTTTGTAGAAACCTAGAAAACTTCATCTCAAGATAGATGATGGACGTATGAAAACGTACCTGAAATCCATCCTTCCAGAGCTTCCGTCTCATAGAGGTACTTGCAAGCTAATTCTGTAGAGGAAATAGCGAAAAATAGACCAAAAATAGTTATCGAAGAGAACTAAGGTACTTTAGTACTAAAGTAATATTCCATTATGATAATATCACCATAAATTATATGCTTCAATATTTTTTCACTTGCTTGGGGTTTTGGGGTTTTGGGGTTTTGGGGTTTTGGGG